AGAAAAAAAAACTGCAGTGGTGAAGTTTGTCGCATTCTCCATTGCGCCCTGGCCTCCAATGGTGCGAGGTCTTCTCGCCCCAGGCATTCTTGACGCCCCTTCGTCATAGCCTCGATGTCCCCGCTGGTGCTGGAATCGTAGAAGTACTTCGCGTGGTCGTGATCAGCAAGCATGTAGTCGTTCCTGTGCTTGTTGTTGTAGGCGTCCTCCCAGGCGTGGTGACTCTCACCATTGGACATGGGGTACGAATGGCCTTGTACCTGTACTTCGCTGCGTACTCATGGGGGGGGGCCTTCCATTGGTGTCTTCGCTCTGAACAAACATCACCCACCCAATCGGACTGTGCGCCCCCAAGTCTGCCATGTGCGCCCGTAAGTATGATGATGAGTTTGTGCTTGGCGGTAATGCTAGTAAACCGTTGCCGGAACTGTTGCCTCTCGATGTCGCTGTTATTCGAGTGCGGTGCGTGTGCTACACATGCTCGAAATGTGATGGCCTCCGTCTCGACGTTAACCAATCGAAGTTTTGGTTAGGACACAATGACGTGAGATGCAGGGGCTGGAGGAACAATGGCCCATTGGAGTTCCCGCCGTAGGGGCTGCTGATGCTGAGCACGCGCGCTTCCTTTCGGCGCGCACTTTGCGCGGTTAAGCGCGCAGTTTTGGCGGCGCCGACCGCGTGGGCAGGGCGCCCCGCTGCAGGGGTCGTTCGGCCGTCCGCGCCAGGGCGCCCAACGCCGCAACAGAAAATGCCCTGGAACGCAAACTCTGCAATTTTTTGGTCACCCCTGAGCCGCCCCGAAGGCACTTTCAGAGTCCCTATCTCGCACCCAGCGTTCTAGCTGTCGCGAGGGCTGCTGACTATGTAATAGCCATTGTTGGTCGTCGTGCGTCTATCATCCCGAGCTTCCTGGGAACCTGCGATGTGGATCATCTGTTCTCGAAACTGTCGTCGTAGAATCGGCCCTCGCCACTGATTGGTGAGCTTGCCCTGCTTGGTCATCTTGCGTTGTGTTTTGTTGCTTGCTTCCCTGGTACTTTCGGCGTTGTAGGTCATGACGCTGAGGGCGTGTGGTGGATGATGTGTGCACGTGCTGCTCAGGAATTGCCATATGCTTTGTCGTGGCTGTTCTTGGTGGGGTACTGAAGACCATGTTGTCGGTCGCTTACATCGGATATGTGCGCGTCGGTCCTTGTCATTGCTGCTGGGTACCCCTTCCCACTGGAAATACATGCTAGCGTTGACCAGGGCTCGTCTGCTTGGTGAGACTCTGGTTGTCAGTTCGCCTTTTTTCAAATTTGCGTCGTTCTCTCTTCGCCAACCCAACGAGAACCGACGAACGAGAACCGCCGAGGCTGGAAACCCGCTGGGAACCAACGAAACACCCGAAAACCCCAACAGTGCTGCAGTGGTCGCGGCTGGTCTGGATGGCAGTATCGCAACCTGCGCAGGCACCAGTACCTCTGGCACTACTTACGACGTGGTGGAGGAGAGCGGTGGAAGAGCCTGGGGTATGCAGCTCGTGGGGACTTACCCGCGGGCCTCTCCAACGAGCTGCCCTCTCGCTGGCGCGGGCAGGCTGGGCAGCAACCTCGGCACTAAGGTGGCGTAACCATCGAGGCGACCTGGTCTGTGTGGAGCAGCTCGCCCCAGGACTACTGCCCCAGATGTTGCAGCAAGGTGTTCAATGTCAGCATGAGCGAGACCTAGCGGACGAGCTTGGCCTTGGTGAGGGCAAGCGCGCCACCTTCGACATCCTGGCCCCCCTGGTCTCCCTGCGAAGCAAACGGTGCACGGCGTGCCAGAAGTTCGGCATCATGAATGTCGCGCGCAGTGGCGTCTGGACAAAGACGGGAGCCCAGCAGCGTGGATACAACACGGATGGTAGGTGTCTTTGTGGAGCTCCCGACTCTCTCGTGCACCGACTTCTTGATTGCACCAGACCTGAAGTTCAGCAAGCTCGAGCTGATGCAGAGGTTCCCCAAGATTTCCTCGACGACCTACGTCAGCATGCAGATGAGCCTGGGTATGTTGAAGGCACCTATGGATATGCTTGCGCTGATGTTCCGTCAATGAGCTTGGGCACTACCAGCGTTATCCTTGACGGCCAAGGACTCCCAGTTCCTGATGAGGCTTGTCAGGAACCTGAGCAGATGGCAGCCTGCTTCCTCAGGGACGATGACGCTAGCATGGAGGTCGCTATCGACGGCTCGTGCACCAAGCCGCCCATCAAGGAATTCCAGCGCGCAGTGTGGAGCCTCGCCCTGCTCGACCCCCGCTCAGACAGGCCGCTGGCGACCATGCACGGAGCAGTACCTGCATCCTTGCCCCAGGAGTCGGCCGTCGGAGAGCGTCTGGCGTCGGCGTTCGTGTCGCAGGTTGCGGACCGACCCTGCGCCGCCCACGCCGGCTTCAAGGGCGTCATCCACCTGGGCAACAAGCAGAAGGAGCTGCAGCTGAAGGCCAGGACCCCCTATGCGTGCATCGCCCACTTCGCGCAGTCGCTCGACGGCTTCAAGCACGTGCAGCAGTGCGCCCACGTCAAGGCGCACCGCTCTGGGGACGAGTACACGGCGCTCTCCGACAGCCAGAGGAGGCTCACGGACGCGAACATCGTGGCGGACCTCAGGGCCAAGGAGGCAGCGGCGATCCACCCCGCCCCCGAGCAGAAGGTAGTCGAGGAGATGCAGAAGGCCGCCGGCAGGATCAGCCAGATTGCGAAGCTGGTTGCCCACGTCATGCCCATCTTCGACAAGGACGACCAGTTCAGATGGACCAGGAGGGCGCCGACCTTGCGGCGGGCAGCGAGCACGAGGAAGGCAACCTGGCACCAATGGCAAGATGGCGAGCTGGGCGCGCAGTGCTCCGCCTGCCTACAGCTGCACACGCCTGGGCAGCCGCCCCCCCTCACGGGGTGCCCTGGGACGCCCGCCTTCCTGCTGGACCATCGGCGCAACCCCAACGGCCACAAGCTGGTCGCGGTCAACCAGAAGGGCACCTTGGAGAGCGGCGCGCAGGACACCTACAGGCCAGTGTTCATCTGCGCGAAGTGCGGGGCTTGGGCGATGCAGCGGCGCAAGGCCAAGTTGCGGCAGCCATGCACAGCTGCCACCACCAAGGGCCTCGAGGTTCTCAACAACCTGAGGCGCGGCGTCGGTCCCTTCAAGAAGCTGAAGAGGTATATCGACCGCACCACCCCACTTCGACGGCTGGAGGCGACGAGCGAGGTCCACACCACCTTCGCGAAGGTCGACATCTTCAGCGGCACGGGCGTGGCGGCCCCTGCGGCAGGCTTCGAGAGCAGGATGGCCGCACTTCATCAACGAGTGCGCGAAAGGGCGCAGATATGGCGTGACGAACAGGAGGGGGGGAACACCATGTTCGGGCACGCGGTGGCCAGAGGAGATTTCCAGCAGGAGGCAGTTCGCGGAGCTCGAAGGGATAGGCGTGCTGGGGCACGACTTCGGGGAGCTCAAGGAGCTGCTGCTGCTGGTGGGCCCAGCGCCGCCGCCAGCTCGGGTCCGCGCCGCGCGGCCACGCAGGGCGCCTCCTCCTCGGCCGCGGCGGACGTCGTGGAGCACATCGCGGAGCGTGCTGCTGCTGGGGCTGCTGGCGCTGGGGCGCCGCGCGGCTCGGTGGCGACCTTCGACGGCTCGGACGCGCTGGACGACCAGTGCGTGGACGCGCTGGGCGACGACGAGCACGACACCGAGGCTGCAGCAGCTGAGGAGGCGCTCGGCCTGGTGACGGACTGCTTCGACGGCTCGGCCGCGCTGGACGTCCAGGTCGGGGACGCGCTTGGCGATGACGAGCACGACGCCGAGGCTGCAGCTGCCGCGGAGGCGCTCGGCCTGGCGATGGACCTCGACAGCTCGGGCGCGCTGGACGACGGCCTCCTGGGCGCGCTGGGCTTCGGCGCCGAGGCTGCTGCTGCTGGGGAGGCGGGCAGCTCGCTGGCGGTCGTCGACGGCTCGGACGCGCTGGACGTCGACACCGAGGGCGCGCTGGGCGACACCGAGCACGAAGCGGAGGCGCCCCACGGAAACCGACCACTTTTGACTGAAAATGGTCGGTTTGGCCCTGCTGTGGTGCCGGCTCGTCCCCCTGCCGTCGACCGCGTGGGCGCGCTGGGCGACACCGAGCACGACGCCGAGGCGGCTGCTGCGGGGGCGGCGAGCGACTCGGCTGCGGCCGTCGACGCCTCGGACGCGCTGGACGGCAACGCCGCGACGGCGCTGGGCTCGCTGGGCTTCGCCGAGCGCGTCGCCCGTCCCCTGGCGGCGGCTGGCGCGCGAGAGCAGCAGGCCCCAGGCGCGGCCGCCCCCAGCCTGGGCGAGCGCGACGGCGCCAGCGCCTTGGCCGCGCTGGAGGGCAGCGGGCGCGGCGCCGAGGCGGCCGCAGAGGGGGCGGTGCGTGGGCCGACTGCCACGTACCCCCCTCAGCGCCACGGGCATGCCTGGGAAAAAGTCCCCGCCCTCGGCGATTGGCCAGGGCCCTGGGATCCTCGGGCCGCACCGAGCGTTCGAGGGCAAGGACGTGGACACGGCGGCGCCTTCGACGACCGCGTGGCCGCGCTGGACGGCGGCCGCCGCGCCCCGCTGGGCGACCTCGAGCACGACGCCGAGGCTGCTGCTGCTGGTGCATCGCCGCGGGCGGCTCGAGCCAGCGACGACTCCGTGGAGTCGAAGGCGGGCGCGGAGGCCAGGGCAGCCGAGTTCAAGAAGCTCGTCGCGCAGTTCGGCGGCGGGCGGCAGGCGCGGAGGACGTGAGCCCCTTCGACCAGTTCTTGCTCCTCATCTGAGGAGGCGGGCCAGGCGGCCGAACCCTGACCTCAGGGCTTGTCATCATCATCATCATCATCATCATCATCATCATCCTCCTCTTCCTCCTCCTCCTCCTCCTCCTGCTCCTCCTCCTGCTCCTCCTCCTCCTCCTCCTTCTCCTCCTCCTTCCCCTCCCTATCCTCGCCCTCGATCCCGCGCGAGGCTGCGGGGTCCGTCCTCCGCGGACCTCGCCGCGGGCGCCGCCGCCGGAGCGGCGCCGCCTCGAGGGCGGAGGGCAAGGTCCGAGTCGACCGGGTCGATCCGACTCGACATCGCGAGAAAATCAAGACGAGCTTTGTTGTATAAGCGCGGCATCTCATCCCTCGACGAGGGGTACCAGCAGCAGTGTAATCAAATGGTTCGCCTGGGTCTGATCGTCTGACCCCTCCTCCTTCCTCCCTCCCCCCTCTTGGAACCAAGAGTGTCAAGAGATATCCCAGAACCCTGAGTTACCAGGATGTCGCAGGCTAAACGCGCTGGACCACCTCTCGCGCAACTCCTCGAAGAACAGAGTTACCAGGATGTCCAAGGCGAAACGCTATGGACCACCTCGTGCGCGACAACTCGGAGCTTAAATTTACGATGATGTCTCAGCCAAAACGCACCGAACCACCTGGTTCGCGACATCTCGGAGCATCTCGGAGCCTAGAGTTGCGAACATGTCTCTCAGGCAACACGCGCCGGACCACCCCGCGCGCGGCATCTCAAAGCCAAGAACTGCGAGGATGGTTCAAGAGAAGTGCGAGCAACACCCAATATCGTCATGGTCGTCCCACCCACCAACCCCCTTCATCCTCCTCCTCCTCCTCCTCCTCCTCCTCCTACAGCGATGACGACGGCAACGACGAGAATGGCAATTCGGGGACGCACCAACCTGGGTCAGCGAAACCCAGGTCGACCCGGGCCCTGTCGCGAAGCGCGGCCGGCCGCCTAATAGCTTCCAAACTGGGGTCAGTCAGCAGAGGGCGGAAAGAGAGCATCGGCCCCACGCGGCCCCCAAACCCGGGCCAGCCAGGGGGGATTGGCTGACCCCCGTCAGCGCTGACCCTCGTTACGTGAGCTCCGAGCCCTCCTCCGACTGATCTTGGGCGACAACTCGGGCCTCAACAAACCCCAGAATGCCCGTGACGCAACGCAGCTGATGGGAATTATACTGGGCCCCCCAAAACACAGAAAACCGTAGAAAATGAAAACATCGTGCCGGCCTCCTCCGATTCTCGTCCTCCTGCCAGAACTGACGACAACCAGCCTGCAGGCATGTCGCGCGCGCCCGGCGGCTTCACGATGCTGCCGCCTCGGCCGCCGCGCAGAGAACGGGCGAGGCAGGCCAGTCTCGGGCGCGGCACGGCAGAATGCCGCCGAGACGATGGTGCGCCGCGGCTGGCGTGGGCTGGCAAATCCGTGGCTGCTAAAGCGGTATTCTCAGAGGAAAAATCGATTCCTGGAATAAGACTCAGCGCACTAATTAGTAAACGGGCTGCTTTCCGGAAGAAAAGAACAACATCCCAGAGCTCCGTTTTAGCAGGCATGGGTTTGCCAGCCTGCGCCTGGCTTCTGAACCCCATCTGGGAGGGCCAAACCTACTCGGGGTCCTGGCTATATCCGACTGGGGCGATGCAAGAGTTCCGTTCCGCTCTCCTGCCGCTCTCCCGCGCTACCCCGCGCGAAGGCAACGCTCTCCCGCGCCCCCACCATCCTCCCGCGCGCCGCCGAGGCGCCCACTGCTCGGGGCTTGCTCGAGGCGTTCGTGGCTCGAGGTGCCCCCAGCTTTTCGCTCCATGTTGGGGCCACTGGGGCCCTCTGCACCTCTTGAGGGGGGGGCCTCCATAGAAAAACTGGGGACACCTTGGCCCAGAGACACCTCTGGCAACACCCAGGCTATCGCGCACCCGTCTCGGTGGCTCTGCTGCACCGCGTACTTGCCGCTGCCGCCGCCAAGCGACGCGAGAGGCGCGGTTCCGCGCGACGCTCTCGCGCCGCGCCCCTGGAGAGGAACCGCCCTCCAGCGCATGCCGCGAAGCGCTAAGCGAGGACACCTTCGCGCCCCTGCGTGTGACCTGGGCTTCCGCCCTCGTCCGCCCCTTCCCTTTGCTCTGTCTCCGATCCGTCCAGGGGCAACGCACTTGGACGACATGAGGAACTGGGCGGGTGGGTTGGGGTCGGGTCGGGAAGGCGGGAAGGCGGGGGGCAGTACGCGCGAAGAGCGCCAGGGGCGGCACCGGAGGCTCCGCCAAGTCCAGCGCCGGCCCAGGGAATCTGGCACGGGCCTCCGAACAATTCCGTTGATCTCGCTGCTTCTCCCTGGATATGTGATGGATGCGGGTGGCGGCGGTAACCTGTCCTGGTCGCTGGACTTACCCACAGACCAAGCGTCTTCAGAATCCCTGGACTGTGCGCGGGCCCAGGAGCCCTATACCGGCGCAAAACCTCCAAGATCTGTTTCCAAGTGGACCCAGTTCCCAGACCTCCGATGTCTTGATTTGTCCCAACCCTCCTGTGGTGTTGGGTTCTCATGTTGAAAAGACAGCGCCCCGCCTTCCTTCTTTCCTCCTCCCCCTCCTCCCTCCTCCCATCCTTGCATCTGCCCTGCATATGCCATCATCTCATCATCGTCGTGCGTATTAGCAACCGATTCGGCACACTCCTCAGACGTTTCGAGGCCCCGTGGGGAGCTCCACCGAAGGCCCTAGCAGCAATGTCCGCATGGCGTACCCGCATCCTGTTAGGCACATCCCTTACACGCTTCGTGGCCCTGTAGGAGGCTCCATCGAAGGCCGCAGCGGCAAAATCCGAATGTCGCATCCGCACCAAATCCGGCACACCCCAAACGCTTTTCATGTCCCCGACGGGGACTCCACCGAAGGCCCCAGCGGCAAGGTCCGCATGGCGTACCCGCACCCGACTCGGCACATCCCTCATTCGTTTCGTGGCCCCATGGGGAGCTCCTTACACGATTCGTGGCCCCATAGGAAGCTCCACCGAAGGCCACAGCGGCAGGGTCCGCATGGCGTACGCGCACCCGATTGGGCTAACCCCTCACACGCTTCGTGGCTCCATGGCAAGCTCCACCGAAGGCCCCAGCGGCAGGGTCCGCATGGCGTGCCCGCTTCCGATTTGGCAAACCCTTGGCACTCTTCGCGGCGCCGAAGGGGGCTCCACCGAAGGCCCCAGCGGCAAGGTCCGCATGGCGTACCCGCACCCGACTCGGCACATTCCTCACACGTTTCGTGGCCCCACAATGAGCTACATCGACGGCCCCGGCGGCATGGTCCGCATGGCGTACCCGCATCCGAGTAGTCACACCCCTCAAACGTGTTGTGGGCCCATAGGGAGAACCGTCCAAGCCCCGAGTGGCAAGATCCGCATCGAGCCCCCGCTCCATGCTGGCACACTCCTCACTCCTCCCCCTTGATTTTTCTCACTTGCATCGCATCGCGGTACCCGCAGCTTCATATGGTTGGTCCCTTCTCCAGGACAATTCAATACCTGGACCGCTCGACCTCTTCCCTTGTACCGTTTTTTTCTTAAAACAGCGAATGCTGCAAGGGGTCTCGACCTTACTGGGAGAAACGATTATGACATCCATAATGCGGGAAAGTACCGCCCGCACCGTGACGTGCCGTTGCCGTGCTTACTCGGCGGGGTGCAAACATTGACGCCCGCATGCTGTGTCAAACCCAATTACTGGGATGCAAGAAAATTGCCCCCCGCATGCTGTGCTTTGCCGTGTCGTGCCGTGCCGTGCCTCGTTGCTGGGATGCGAAAAAGTCGCCGCCCACGTGCCAAGCCAATCTTGTGCGCTCCTTGTCGTGGCACCGTCGTGTCGCACCGATTGGGCGGGGTGCGGAAAACTGCCGCCCACCTGCCATGCCGTGCCGCGCCAAACTTCTGGAATGCGGAAGGTTGCTGCCCGCGTGCCGTGCCGTGCCTGCGCGGGCCTCGTCATACCGTGGTCGTGCCGTGGTCGTGCCTAACTTCTGGGATGCGAAAAATTGCCGCTCGCCTGCCGTGCCGTGCCGTGCCTAGCTCCTGGGACACGGAACAAATTGCTGCCCGACGTGCCGCGCCCTTGTCGTCCTCGCGTGCTGCGCTACGCGGAAAAAAAGCCGCGCTGCGCCGCGCCTGGATTTCAGAACACGGGAAAATGACCTCGCCGCGCGACGCTGCGCCGGGCCGCACCTAGGCTTCAGAATGCGGCACAACTACCATGGCAACCATCTGCTTTAGCATTGAGCGCTGGTGTTTAGGATCTCTGCGCTGGCATACGTCATGTCGGATCGGCTTTGACTATACGGGGGCCCAGAAGCGCCCCCCAGACGCCAGAAATTCGGAATTTCGCTGCTGAGAAGCCCCACATTCGAATTGAAAATCTGATGTGTTCAGGCATCATGCACGCAGCCTCCTGCCTACTGCACGTTCAGCGAATGAGTTCTCAGACTGTCATCTAGCGCAGCATTGCTTGGACCTCCTCCCTCCCCCGACTGTGTGCGGCTGTCTGTGGACATGTCTCATCTGGGTGCCGTGTATGTGCTGAATGAGTCTGGCGTGCTTGATGCAATGAACACGCCAGGTGTAGGACGCAACGATCAAGCCAAGCACCTACTAGTGCTGTATTACCGTCGGACTTGATTAGACAGGACACGCGAGAGGACAAAAGACCCTTTCCGAGAGGCACACTGCCATGGGAATGTAGGAGGCATGGGTCGTGAGACACAGGACACAAGAAGACCCTTGACTTGGCAGAGTCGACCTACTAGCCAGGGCCGACTGTATGGTATGTGTGCGTGTGTGTGCACGGCGCAAGTGTAGGTATAATGTGTGTGTTGCGCATGTGCGCTTACCGGCCGCGCGGGCGCCCTCTCCGCTTGGTGACCTTCTTCGCCTCGACGCTGCGAGCGAGGCCGCGACCGCCAAAAAGGCTCTGTGCATGTGTGCGTACGTGTGATGTGGGCTCCAGCGAGGAGTGGGCGGGGAGGAAACCATAATCCAACTTAGCTTGTGGGATCAACTACGTCCTGACATCCGGTCCGTACTCAAGAGATGCGAGCTCATTCATCATGGCGCAATTCGGAGGAGGAGAAGACTTAAACAGTTTGCGGGAACTCTGTGCCCCCGCGCTCACGGGGGTGCGAGAAATCCCCGTTCCATCGCGGCCCCTTGCCGAAAACCAGCAGACAGAGCTCGATCGCCATGGGTTGGACGTGGAAGGATGTGCAGGATCAGCGCCCGACGGCCAGCTGACCATATGCAATTTGCGGGGTGCCATGCTTGCAGCGCGCGACAGCACGAATCCAAGGCCCAGACAAGTGCCTGGCGCGTGCGGCAGCGCCCTCCGCATCCCAAGAGGCGCAGCACAACGAGAAGGCCAACCTCTGGTAGGACAGGGAGCTGCGGAGGCGGCTTGCCATCCTGGAGGTCCTCGCAGACTCGCAAAAGGAGCAGCTCGGCGGGGCAGTCATGACGCAAAGATGTCAAGGGGGAGCAAGAAGGGTATCTCCACTTCCCGAGCCTCTCCCATGGCGCTATCTGACCAGGACCTCGCAGTGAGCCGTGGCGACGCGGGACTGGCAGCATCATCGGTATCCTTTCCTACTCTGACGCCAGGGTTGAAGCGAGGCGAGGGAGGTCACGGAAGAGGTCATTCTGCGAGGGGCTGGCCAGGCCGTGCGGGCAAGATTTCCATATCCACATCCACCGCGTCTTGGACTTTCTGGGGAAGAGCGCCAAAAGGCCGAGGCGCAATTGACATGGATCAGCCTCTGCGTAACCTCCGTTGGGACAGAATGCCGTTCATATCCACTTCGCAGCTGGCTTTTGCTGCAAAAGGAGGCCCGACACTCCAATACGCAGTGGGTATGGACGGAAGTCTTGCACGCAGGCCGTCTCCCGGCGGGAGGCGCAGGCGCCCGCAGCCGCTGAGGGCGCGCACGCTGCACGGGCTTGCCGGCCGCAAGCGGCCCCCCACCTGCGCGGGGCGGGGGGGGGCAAGATCAGTCAGCATCGGGTTCCGCCATGAAACTGGTGGGTCCTGAGGAGATTGTTCCTAGCCATCCTGTGGTGTTGGGTCCTCGTTTTTAGACAACGCCCCGAGTCCCTCTCCTCTCCACTCCTCTTCCTCTTCCTCCTCCTCGTCCTCCTCCTCCTCTTCCCCCTCCTCCCTCCTCCTATCCTCGCTCCTGCCATCCGCAATGCTCGCTGTGAAAAACAGCCCCCCGCGTTCCTTCCTCCTTCCTCTTCTCCCTCGTTCCTCATCCCTCCTCCCATCGTCATCATCAACACCATCATCACCATCGTCATCCGCGTCCCCATCCTCATCATTCCCACCATCGTCATCATGACCAGAGACAGCGAGCATCAGCATAAGGATTAGCAGAAGGATGGTCACGTTTCGGAACAACCTTCACACGTTTCGTGGCCCCATGGGAACTCCACCGAAATCCCCAGCGGCAAGGTCCCCATGGCGCGCCCGCACCCGATTCGGCAAACCCGTCACACGTTTCGTGGCCCCGAAGGGACTTCCACCGAATGCCCCGGCAGGAGAATACGCATGGCGTGCCCGTTCCTGATCTGGCATAACGGTCACACGTTTCGTGGCCCCGTAAGGAACTCCACCGAAGGCCCCAACGACACTGTCCGCATGGCGTACCCGCACGCTGCCTGGCCCCCCCTCGCACGTGTCGTGGCCCAGCAGGGACCTTCACCGAAGGCCCCAGCGGCACCGGCCGCATGGCGTACCCGCGCCCGATTCGGCACACCACTCACACACTTCGTGGTTTCATTGGGAATGGCACAGTCTGCAAGGCGCACCCGCGCACGATTTGGCACACACACACACACACCTCACACGCTTCGTGGCAGCCTAGTGAGCTCCACCGATGGCGATACCCAAAACGACGGTGCTCCCAACTGCATACGGTATGGCGTCCCTCCGACCTCCTCTTCCAGTTTTCCTCCCCCCGCTCCTGCCTCTGCCCTCCGCACGTCCATGTCGGCGAACCCTTCACATGCCTCGTATCCCCGTAGGAGCTCCGCCGAATGCCCCAATGGCTCAGTCCGCATGGCGCACCCGCACCCGATCCGGCAAACCCCTCGCGCGCTTCGTGACTTCATGGGAAGTTCCACCGAAGGCGCCTGCGGCAGTTTCCGCCTGGCGCACCCGCGCTCGATGCGGCGCACCCGTCACGCTTCGTGGCCCCATAGGAAGGTCCATAAACCCCAGGAGCAAGGTCCGCAAGGCGCACCCGCACCTGGCTTGGCACACGCCCCGTGGCCCCATAGGGAGCTCCGTCGAAGGCCCCAGCGTCCGCATGGCGTACACCGTACCCGACTCGGCAACCCGCAACCAAGCGCCAGGTGAACAGCACGCAAAGGTACAGTGCAAGGGAGTCCCCGCGACACGCGCTGGTCGCCCCGAGAGGATTCCAGCGACGCGCGCGGGTCGTCTGCCGCACGAGGGCACACAGTTGGGCAGTCGAAAGAAAACGATCCTCGGATGGGCCGTTCCTCAGGGCAGGCCTCGCAGATAAACCTGGTGAGTCCCAGCTCCTTGACGAGGCCGTCGCTAAAACTAAGAAAACCCTCCGCTCGCCCATGCCCGCTTTCCTCCCCATCCACGCCCCAATCCTCTTGCTGGCCCCCTCCTCCCTTTCACTTGCCTCGCGATGCTCGCAGCTGGATATGGTTGGGTCGTTCGCACGGAGAATGATACTTTGGCGCACAACGGTCGCTACGTACCCGAATGCGGCCCCGCGCGCAGACTACGGGGATCGCCGCGCATCCTCGCCCCGACGTGCCCCGCCCCACCCAAATAATACCATTACAGGGCCCCCCCCCGATCCCCCACCCTGGGTAAAGACCGTGACCAGAACTTCTAAAACTATTCTGGCGAAAGACCCAACCATGTCCAGGTGTGAAAACTGTCGCTTGCATTAACGCCTCTATAATTAGCCAGCTTTGCACTGAGAGCTCGGGGGGGCCTTCAAGGGTGGGAGTGGCGGGGCCGAAACTGCAGCCATATAAGACAATAAGGGGGTGACGATTTCGGCGGCTAGAAACATTGACGATGCTACTGTAAAAGTGTGTTTGGGAAACGCGTATTTACATTAACGACTCTATGATTAGCCAGCTTTGCACTGAGAGCTCGGGGGGGGCCTTCGATTCAAAGGGGGGCAGGCGGAGCTGGAGCGACAACCCTACAGAAGATCAAGAACGACGAGCACACACAACCACGGCACAGAACATCCAACGCGGCAGCAGGTGCGTCCAGGAGAGTGCCGCGAGCGCGCCTAGAGGGGGAGGCCCCCCCGCGAGGTGTTAGAAGGCGTGGCCGAGCCACCTTGGGCCCAGACCTCGAGCGGCGCCTGACCTGGCCTCCAGGCCAAACAGGGCCCACAAGAAACTCGGAAACGCATCAGTCCCAGCCCCAACAAGTCGAGACTGGTAGACTTGCCTAAACACCAGCCTTGCAACAAGATGAGGGAGGGAGGGATTGGGTTATTCATCCATGTTGTGCCCCAGCCCCCCCTGTTAATATAAAACCCCGGTCCGGTTGTCGATCTGATCTTCACTTTGATGAAAACGGGTGAGGACAGGGGACACGTCAACCTGCCTCCAGGCACGCACCGACTATATCAAAATATAGGGCTGATTGTAAAATCAACACACACACACACACGAGAGAGCGCTGGACACTGGCCCGCCAAAAGGGCTGGGCGTCGCAACGCGCGCAGATCAATGAAGCAAAAGAGTCAGGCCCAGCAATCATGATTTCCGCGCGGCGCTCGATTTGCGCCTGTGTCGAGTGCGAGAGGCAGTGCTAAGGCGACCTGTCGTCAGCGCCCGTCCTCCCTCGAAACTCGGGAGCTCGATCTCCTGGCCGCGCGCCCGCTCCAGCTCCTCCAGCAAATGCTTTGCCAGCGGGGTCTGGGCGGCGGGCGACTCCTTGATCCACCAAATCAGCGCCTCAGCAGGCGCCGCCCAGAAGCCTACGCCTGCCCGCACCTGCCCATCAGTCATCTTGCCCAGCTGGCTGATCAGCATGTGGGTCTTCGTGTAGCGCGCTAGCGCTGCCGTCGTCTGCCACCTGCCCCTGCGGCGGGCGGCCTCCAAGCAGCCGCCTCCTGCCGCGAAGCTGGCAGCCCCCGAGTGCCGTATGGCATGCGGGGGGCCCATGCCAGCAAGCCCCTCGTCGCCCAGCGCCTCGCGCCACTCGCGCCTGAATTTGTCCTGCGAGACGGGGAAGACGGGGTCCCTACGGGCGCAGCCCCGCAGTTGGGCGCGCACCGCGGCCGCTGTCACCGGCCATGAGATCACCGCGCCCTGGTTCGAGCCCGTCTTGACCTCCTCTCCTCTCTCGCGTCTGCCCAGGGTGAAGGCCAGCTGGCCCCCAGGCCCCTCAGACACGTCCTCAGCCCTGAGCTGGCCCCAGTCCTGCTCCCTGAGCCAGCCGCCCAGCTGCGCGAGCGCCGCCGCGCCCTCGATCAGGCGACCCGCGCGGGACATCCTGCCGATGGCCAGGCCGACCGCCTCCATGGGGACAGGCGCGCCTTCGCCCAGCTGCCCCAGCTTCTGCCACGACTTCAGCGCCCAGGCCGACGTCGGAAGCCGGTCCCTGTGGTCCTGGAACACGTGCATGAAACCGTTGAAGAGCACGTTGGCCCGCCCAAAGCCCAGCTGCCGAACGTAGCACATGTCGGAGATGTAGTCCGCCAGCGCCTGGCCCCTCGCATCGAAGGCGTCGAAGTCCAGCTGGTTCCTCCTGACGCCGACCAGGAACTCGCGCACGGCCTTCTGGTAGACCCAGTTGGTCGAGTCATCCACGGCGTGGATGACCAAGCGGTTCGTGTAGAGCAGCCTGTCACGCTGCGCCTCGCCCCAGGCCCGCGCTCCTTTCTTGACCAGCGGCGGCGGGGCACTCGCCCCCTTCGATCTGGTCGAGCGTGGGCTCGGGCTGCCTCGGTCCCCCACGGCCCCCCCTCGCGCCACCAGCGCCCCGAAGGCTACAAATGTGCCGATCCAGCGGCAGTGCTTTGGTGAGCCTGCCGCTGACGCAAGAGCCGCTGGAATTGCTGTGGGACGCCTCGGGCCACGTGCAGCTTGACCGTCTCCTCCGCCGCGCCGATGGGCAGCCCCCTCGACGGCCCATCCGCCAGGTTGAGCTCCGACGGGACCCATCGGTAGTAGCCTCTGATCCTGCAGACCATCTGGATGATGCCCGCGATGCGGGAGAGGTGCAGCACGTCCTTCGCTGATGAGCGGCCATTTTGCAGCGCGCCCAACGACGCCAGGGAATCAGTGAAAATCAAAATCCTGTGGCCCCAGGCCTGAGATGTCCTGCTCAGGTGCCTCAGGGTGGCCACCACTGTCCGTAGCTCCAGGATGTTGCTGTGCTCCTGGTGCCCCCACTTCCCGCAGAACAAGACGTGCCAGCGGTGCTGCAACCAAAGGCCCCTCAGCGGTGTGGTGGTACCCGCCGCCCTGGCGATCTGCGGGCGACCTCCTCTCAGTCTCAGCCTTGCCCCTGATGGTATCGTCTCCCAGGAAGGCCCGAGCTGCCCCACGATCTCCGCATAGCATCTGCATAGCTCGAGAGGGCACGCGCGCGCCAGCTGGGCCCACCTGAGGCCACACGGCGACTTGCCTCTCAGCTCCTGGTGAGGCTTCTGCGTACGACTGCAGCAACGACAAGTACCAGTACACCTTCTCGCCAAGCTGATCATCTCTCTCACACTTGCGACGAAAGCGGCGGGCTTCTTCCAAGCCTCCCCAAACGCACAATAGTCCAGACGTCCCTTTTCGATAGGACTTCCATGAGGGGCGGGAAAGCCCAGATGTAGCTGCCCGCTGGGCTCTCCAGCGCGAAGGGTATCGCCATGGCCCCGCAGATCTTCAGCACCTCCACCGCCACCAGGCACAGCAAGTTCCCCTCCTCGAGCGTGGCCTGGCTCGGCCCGTCGAGGTCGGGGA